GGGGGGGGGGGGGGCTCCCTGTTATTTAACAGAAGTACCCTTCAAAAAAGTAGATAATATAGGAGCAATAAATGCACTTACTAGCCGAGTCACTCAAGAAAACCGCGTTGTCTTCTTGAACACCTAGGCCAACCACATTTATGACAGCGGTGGTGGCAACATCTTCTATGAAAAAACTGAACGCCGTCGATTTCGAACAATCCTGAACAAGAGATAATAAATTGCCATGACAACCTTTTTTGTTACTTATTTTCAACTGAATCATTGTGACACGCCATTTAAACCAACCTCAGCTGCATCGTCCAGTACCAACGAAGTTGCCTCGATCGACGACACCAGCAATGACGTCAGCTAAAAGCATGAACCCTGCAGGAAATATTTGACAGTGTATTTCTAGATTCTCCCTAATTTACCCCCAGGTATTACGCGATATATTTAGTACCATGACCACAGTGACTGGTAATATACGCTTCATTTTTCGATACAATGTCAAATTTTTGATTATTTTCTTAGGTACGGTCCACGCTGATCGTATGGGTGGAGACAGTGAACGTCTCGCACCGCGGTCTCTTTCCCTTCTCTGTCTCAGTAGTGAGGGCGGGCGTGTTAATAAGGACGACATAGCAGTCGACTATCTCCGCCCATAGGACTCCCACAAACTAAACAACACCCTGACTCATGCCAACGATGACAAATAGTACCAAACAACACCGTACTTGACCCACAACCACTTCTCCTTTTCATAGCATTTCCACTTCGTCCTGCCCATTCGCTCGCTCTTTAGACAGAAAAGAGGAATTCTTTTCAGGAGAAATCGAAACAAAACGGCTAAACCTGACATCTGGTATTCCAGCAACGGTTATCGGTATGTTTCGCCCAGATGTTTCCCGTTGATGATAAGTGAGATCATCGTCATTCTTTGGTAATGTCGTCCCATTTCCCAACGTAAATACGTTCACCTGAATGAAACTCTTCTTTTCAATTAGGCAGCGTTCAGACTTCGCCATGACGCGCGTCAAAGCGTTGCATCGCGCTGTAATGCGCGTCGAATTGCAGCGGCGCTGCAATATTATGGATGCGAACACAACAGCAGACGGTAATTGATCGACGTCGTCCACTTGTGTTTTGAGAGAGGAACAGGAGGACATTGCCTGATCACGCAGTTTAGTGTCGATCGGCCTCAGTGAATTGGAAGAATATAGAGAAATAAGAGATCATCAGATTGTGTGAAGGCGACGCCTAGCCTCCCGCTGTCGTACACTCTCTCTCAAAAAGCAAGCAACCAGCGCCGATCGATTCCTGTCTGTGGCCGCATTCGCGTCCATAGCATTGGGCGCCTTTGCAGTGGTAGCACGTCGACGCGCGTCATTGCGAAGTGTGAACACTGCCTAAAATAAATGATACCGTCACTGAAAAAACGGCTAGCAGTTACGAAAGTCTAGGTGTCTTGGTAAAGTCGCAAAGGGTGCTCCTCACCTGCATATTTCTTGAAATTGGTCTTGAGTCCACCGTAGAATGTTCAGAAGGTGTGGACGTAAACAGAAATAGAATAGTCGGAGATAGAATGGAGATTTCGCTTGCCTATAAATGATAAGTAGACTTATACTTCATTCTTGGCTACAGACACGACAAGGTGTGGTTTTGTTTTCTTCTTTCCGTTCTACTTTCCCTACACTTGCTAAGCGCGAATGGGTCATTTGTTATGTACCCTGTACCATCAGGAGCACTTTCTATTTCCGATTTCAAAATTGTTTTCAGAATCTGACGAGCGTTTCTCCGAGCGAACTTACGGGTTTCCCAACCCTTTCTTCCTAAAGCTTGGACCGCACCAGTTTCAGAGCTGACTATGAATTTGCTTGCAGGAGTATTGCGCCGCAGGACACGAATGCGACACTCTTTTGGACTTTACTCTGAGCTTCAAAAGGCGCACAAAAAAGCAGGAGATGGCGAAATACTGAGCGCGTGCGTGAGAGGAGAGACAGTGAAATGCTGCGAGAGGGAGCACAGCCTTACACACCACAAGGGGGTGAAAAATCAAAAGCAACACTAGGCAGACATTGCGCGATGCGGATGTTGCTGAAATGGGAAAAAATATCACACAAGTGAAAGTCGCTGCCGTATTTTCAATGTACTCTTGAGTGGACCCTTCATACCTACGCAGCTTTTACGAGGAGGGATTCTACTCAACAAGTATCCGTGCACTACGCTTGTGGAGCAGGGAGCAATGAAAAATAGGCAGAAATACACTTTCTGTTCAGAAACCCTATTGCTTGAAGGCATATGGCACGATAATTTGGTACTCGGTGTAAAAGCGGGCTATATAGTGGGGGAAAATGGCGAAAAACGAAGCGAAACGGTCGAAACCTGCGAATAAGAG